ACAGAAGCTGCTGGGAATGCATATCAAATGCCTTCAACAGGCTTAGGAAAAGGCACCACTGCTACATGCTAGTTAACATTTTCACTTCAGTCATGCCATATGCGAGCAAGCATGATGACATAGGCCAACATCATGATCCTGTACTGTAAAAAACATGGCATTCGATGGATGGTAACTAATTATTCCTAGAAAAGGGGGCCAACATCACCAGAATGTGCTCCAGAAAGCCCCTTGCTCCAGAAAGTTTCTAAGAACCAGTCTATCTACTTAGGGTACAACATGTTTTATGACAAAATGCTTTTGATTGGAGGGGCAGATGATTTTGAGGCTTTGGCTTACAGCAGGTCAACAAATTCTGGGACAGTAAGGAGCAGTTGAGGTTCAAGGAAGAAGTGGCATTAGATGCCTTCAATATGACAAGAGTTCTCTAAAGGGTAATTGCGGCCTTTGCATCATGGGGGGAAACCATGACCCCGATTCAGAGAAGACACTGGGCATCCAGGAGTGGTTCGAGTGCCCAAAACTTGGGGTGATCGGAGACATGTTGGGTACGATTGATGGAACTTCAATCCTCTATCTTTATAGCTCTGGGGTGCATCCAGAAGGGCCAGAACCTTTTAGTCCTTAGACAAAAGCAGTCAGTAATAGTGTGCGCATATTGTAGGGTTTGTGCTATTGTGAGTTTGAAATGAAAGATTTGTACATTCACTTAATGGGATACAATTTGCAGTCTAATTTCATTGTTGCAATGAATACTCATAACAAACACTGTTAGTGAAGCTTCAAATCAAATACTTCATAAAAACGTTTGAGAAAAGCATACGTAGAAGAAGAAGCAATTCATCAAATAGAAAGCGTGACTTCAGGTTTGGAACAATTTCAAGGAAAAACAGAATAGACTGTTGAAAGTTTCAATCTTGAATGGGAGAATTGGTAACCGTAGATGCTTGTCTTATTGTTCGAAGCCGTTGGATCCACTGGCTCTCTGGGACCTGAGCTGCCCAATCTGGAGCAACCCCGCTGAACGAGATACTTCGCATGGCCTCCATCACTCTCATTGCATTCTCCGGCGTCAACGAAACACTGCTACGGCTCTCGTCTTCACTAAACGGCCTCCGAAGAGACGAATCAGAAGAGGGCCTTATCCTCTCCTCTTCCGACTCTTCTTCACATTCGCCATCCTCATCGCTCAAATTCAGAGATGACACTCCGTTTCCAAGGAAGCACGCGTAACCGTTCGGTAAGCGATTCGAATCACTGAAGAATTGATCTCCATCGTCATTGACGAGATCTGGATTTCGATCGGGAGATTCTTCGTCATCACTTACGTCGGCAGCGATTGGCTGGTAGTATTGGGAAGCTTCATCGGAGTTGGTATCTGAATCGCTTTCGCCAGAGATATCTGCGTGACGTTAGTTCCAGATAAGGATCTGAATAACTCGTGTAAATTGCTCACAAATTGATTCGTATTTACCTTGAACAAAATCCGGCTGAGTGCTCGACGCAGCGTTCATTGCCGGCGGCTACAGAGTGTCGATAAATAAGTAGTCGACACACTTATTACGGGAATGGCATGGACCTAAAAAGAAGAGAGACAATCTCAGAGAAGTAGAGGTAGAATTTGACCTTCAGTCCATTTATCTTCATTTTATATTATGGATGTTTAGTACCACATCCATTCAACAACATTTAGACATGAAAAAATGATTCGGTTATTAAAAAAAAGTATGTTTATATTGTATTATTGTTCAATTATTTAAATTGATAAAGTAAAAATTAAATAAGAATCATTTACAATCACATAAATTTTACTAAATTTAGTGTGATGCAAATTTAGTGGGACGAACCAAAAAGGAAAAATGAGTAGCGAGATAGAAGGAACGCTATAAATACTACTACTTCCCTTCCGGTTAAAATCTTTTATTCAAAAATAACATGATTACATAGACAATAATTAAATAAAGTAACGTGAGTATATTTTCTGAAGTAATTTTTGGTATATAAGCTCTTTCATGATAACAATGATTCTATAAGTGTATTTTTTTTAATATTTAATATTTAATTTGTCATTTAAGAACACTAATTATTGCAAGTCAAGTTGTTTTCTCCCATCTCCCCCCACAACATTATTTTGACTGTCCATCCCAGCTGAGCTCAGAGGCTGCAGGTCAGCTAGGATCGCTCCTCCGCCAGCTATTGGTAAGACGCATCAGCAGGGCTTCTCTTCCGGTGGTTCCGGGGGCGGCGTTGTAGAGGGTCTAGGACTGCGATTATTTATGTCACCCCACCACTTCAGACCAGATCGATTCACTGGGAATATAGAGTTTCGATGAGTGCTACTCCTAAGTCGATCTAGCGTCATCGAAGATTCTTTGGTAGGGTCATGAACCATTTGATTGTGCTTCTGTTATCGTTGTTTTTGTTTTGTTCTATGGCGGTCCTTTTTCGAGCATTGAAGTTCTGGTTTGTTTGGTCTCCCTCGGTGTGGGGAGTTGCTTTGGTGTCCCGGCCAGTTTCGTCTGGTCTGGGGTTTTTGTCCGTCTTCTTTTGGGAATAAAGATTGTTTGCTATTCCACCACTTTCTACGACCGGAACGAAGTAGGAAGAAGAGTTTAATTTTCCCTCATGTTGCAACAATTCCTCCTCCTCTTGAACCACCTCCGTGTCAAAAAAAGAGTTATGAACATGCTATATTTCAGTATTGTTTTTTCTTTAATAGTACTTGTTCTTATTTTAGTTCGAGTATGTATGGTTGTGATATTTGGATTTGCGGAGGACTTCCTAATAGGCAGTGATTGGAATAGCAAATCTTGTTGCGTATATGTGCCAATTTTGTGTCTAGGGAGTCATGTTGCTTTCTATGAGGTGGTTGACTATATGTCTATTCCTATAGCTTACGATCAGATCTGTAACAATTGTATATTTTCTTAATATTAATATAAGCCGATTATCATTAAAAAATGAGATTACGGACTTGAATTAGTAGTATATGTGATTTCATTTCAACGGTTATGTTACATTGGACCTATCTCACCACAAAGAAGGCCTTGAGGTGAGCCTTTCGCCCTTTCGCGCTTATATAGTCCTGTAGCAAGGCTCAACTGCTCAACACACCGTCTTCTGTCCAAGTCAGACTGGGCAGCTGAAAGGACGAAGGAATCGATCCACAAAGGGCCTGTCCGAAATCATTGCGTAAATTTGGTCAAACTCAACCACAAAAGAATGTTAAAAAGACGATGTTTACCTCAAACTTATACGTTGGTGAATGGGAAATGTACGGTGTAGATCCCAATTGCACGGAGTATTTGGGCTGGGAGCTACAGATGATTCGCATTCGTTTACAAGTGTCACATGTTCCCTTTGTTTTAATCGTCTAGTCGGATTATATTTCATAAAATTTCATGCAATCTTTTGCTATGGAGCAAAGTGAAATCAGCATTTAAATTGAGAAGGTGATGATTCTTGTACTTGACGTATTTCAAGGCATCTTTGTTTCTTTTCCTTTCCTCACTCTTCGCATATAGGTTAGCACCGTAGAGGTAAAAGACGTAGACACAATATTAATGGGTTCGAATGGGCTATTTGACAATGTCTTTTACCATGAGTTATGTCGATGTTAGCTGCACAAGTAGATGTATCCCATGCTGGTACTTGTCTTCCTGCTTCACATAGGTGCTACCATTCGGGCTCTGTTTGTATACATGAAATACTTTGTTGGATTTTTTTAACAAACAGTAACACAGTACGAAGTACGAGTATATGTTACGAAGAATCTATTTTGTGGGTCAAACATCATACATATTATTATACACATAAGTACAGAGAAAAATTGTTTTGTTAGCTTTTTTTACATAAAAATGCTCCTTGGAAACTATTATTCTAGGAAACATTTTCTAGAACAAGTTAGTTTACTTTAAACAAACAGAGCCTTAGTCATCCAAATATTTATATGGCATTATACATGAGCTTGATATAATTGGTAGCAAAGACATTGGCCGATCTGGCTCACTGTCACTCGTTGGATCCCAAATTCGACACTCTGTATTCACAGGAGTCGTGGCAAAAGGTTCCGGCGTTCCTTCGACAGCCTGTGGAATGCTAATGAAGAGCTGATATCATATTTTATAACAGTGATTTTGGTTGTGCATCAAAGGACAACTCTGTTGTGTTTGTTTCTCCGTCAGCATTGTATTCCATTCTTATTGCGGGTTAAACGTGTTTCCCCTAGGAGAAAATGAATCACTTGCAGTTGCAGAATTCTAGCCCAGCAACTGTCTTTGTGCTTTATTTTTGAGACAAAAACAGAGGAATGATAAAAAGGCTATGACCATTTCTACAATCGACAGCAATACGTTGTCCATTGTTTTGATCTGCAACGTTCAAATGTATTATTGTAGACTTTGGGGTAAGCGAATTTGCAAACGTGTTTTATAATTTAGATACACTGTGTTTAAGAATTGTGCATTCTTTAACCAAAATTTCTGGATTGAGCGTTTGGTAGTGATTGGCTAAAATGTTGTTTTAAATTGTTTACAGAATTACTCCATAAGTTTCTGACCATGCCCTTCGATTAGAAAACAGCAAACATAAAAGGTTCAAATTAAGAGCGTTCTGACTTCAAAGACTTACCTGCTTGGCTGCTTTACTCTGTTTGGGTGGTGGGTTCTAGAAAAGTTTAGGAGAAGAACTGGGACTCTGGGACTGGGAGTATTGAATCTTTTATGCCATAAATATTGAAAGATTAAAATCACGAGTATGAGATAATACAACCTTTCTATCCCCTTTTATTTAGTTTTTGAAAGAGTACACTTATCTACTAATCAAATGATACATAAGAAGCCCTACACAGCCTTCCCATTAAAAGTTCAAACCCATAAACATCCTCCAGTCTACCTTGCTTTTGGTGTTTTGCTTCCAATAGCGTTTCTAGAGACGAACACGCTTGGCCAAACACCACATATACATCACAAGTAAAAGGATAATGCAGCTTCTAAGTGAGGTGATGAAGAAATAAGAGAATTGTTATTGTAAGGGATAAATAAAATATAATAATTCTCTCGTAGTAAACAGAACTGGTAGCCAATGACAGGCCCATGACAGCCACTCCCATGGTCCCACCTACTCTATCCGGGTGTGCGTTTACAAATTACCAATGTCAAAAGAAAAAACCCGGATGATCTGTTGCCGTGTAACATACTCCATGGTGTCGGGGGCAGATTCATATCTAGCTCCACAAAATTTCATCTATTACTGACTTTTTGAGATACACTTATTGTAACTCTTACAAATACACTTCCTCTACATCACTACATGACATTTGCCACAGGTTGCATACGCTAATCTCATCTCCTGTCATCCTAGTGGCCCCACAATGGTTGCGGCAAAAACCCGAGGTGTAAATGACAAAAACAGCCAATGACTGCTCTTCGGGAGATTTTCAGGTAGCATTTCTGCGGTTAGTGGTAGTGTTCAAATCTTGAAAGAAGGATTTAGAAGCTTCATACGTGGACCAGCATATTGCAGCTGCTGGAGCATGGAAGAGCATCCTGGGCATCCAACCCCTCATCAGTCCACTATACCCATCTTTCTTTACGATTGTTTTGAGCACATCCCTAATTGAACTATTTTTAAATCTGTCACATCCACATACGCCCTACACATAACAAACATCTATGTGAGATTAGCAGCTACGAGTACAAATTTCAAAAGCTTATACATTAAGGCTCCACTTGTTAATGTCTAGAATGGAAAAACATGCTGAAATTGTGGTTGAATCTGTTCAAGTTCCTAACATATTCTGACTTATTATTTTTAATTAAAATTACAGATACTCATTAAAGACTCCGTAAGTTTAAAGAAAATAATGACTAAAACGGAGGTTGAAGTACCATTTTCATTTATTTCAGCCACCTTTTCCAAAAAGAGACTTTCGACCACTTTTTCCATTGCAATGTCATCAGCCAATGCAATGAAAACAGTAAGCGTTTGGTTAAAATATATAGCTTATAAGCTAAAAAATTACCAAATGGACACTCAATGCATCATTCAGGGTAAAAGTGACCACATAAGGAGAAGATAGAAGTATAGAACTAAAAAATGCGAGTTCGAAACTTCATATCAGACATAGTGAAGAGACTAGAGAGTTAGTGACCAACTGATCAAGTGCAGGTGTTCTTTTGGTGGTACAAGATAGAAGAGAAACATTTTGAGGAAAGAAGTTCTCATCTACAGCTTCATTTTCATTTCATTTTCATTTACCCCAGTGCCGCAAAGGCTCCCACCTACGGTGGGGTAAGGGGGCTCGGATGTACGCAGTCTTACCCCTGTACTAAAGCACAGAGAGACTGTTTCCGAATGACCCATAGTGAAAATCCCGTCCAAAATTGCATGGACTGACTGATGCTTCATAACAAAGAAGCGCAGACAGTTTAGTGAGCCATTTTGCTTTATTCCATCATAATCTCAAGCCAAAAATAATGAATCTTTGGCTCCATTGCTGAATCATATTCACATCTACAGCCTAATGGAACAAATTCTTTACATTGAGTCTTTGACGGTAAACAACTTAGGCTTACTCATAACTACTCATCAACTCCTAATATTGACCTTGCTTTTTATTCAATTTCCCATACCTATATACATTATGGCAATCATAAATATTCATAGCTTTGATAAGTAAACAACTTTTGACTTCAGACCATTCACACTGAAACCAAAATTCCATGATAACCTGAATGTGTGACCTGGTAGGACCAAACAAGTGCGAACTTTTTAAGTATCTGTTCAGAAACTCAAAAAATGCTAGGTAAAAAGTAGGGACAAAAATATAGGTGATTTTTGGAAGCAAAGAAAATGGAAGGACCAACATTCGTTTACAGCATTAGACCCTATGAATTTATTTTCAACTATTGCTTAGACTAGTTTTAATTGATTATTTGGTAGCACACAGATTAAGGAATCTAATCTCAACATCCATAAAAATATTACAAATTAATAATACATCAATTTCATATGCATATTCCGGGGCAAAACCGAACAACAACAACAACAACATCCAAGCCTTAATCCTAAAAGAATTTGGGGTCGGCTAACATGAATTGATCTATGATATCGGGGCAACACCAAACACGCAAAAAAATAACTTTTCTTCGCATTTTTTATTTCTCTAGTTTTTACGCATCCAAACATACACTAAATGAACAATGGAACCCTAGCTGTCCTATGCTTTGTTTGTTTGAACAAAAGGTATTAGAAAATAAGCAATTTCACCAAAAAAACCTGTGGTTTAAGACCATCAGTACTGTTAGGGTTAGATCTCACACAAGCACGAGTCTGAAAGACTAGAAAAAAGAACGAGAAGAACGGCACACGAATATAACGTGGTTCAGCCAGTAAGTGTTACTGACCTAATCCACGGAGGCAACTAGGGTTTTCTTTCTTATTGAGATGATGAATGATACAAGTCATAGTTTACAAGTACAGGAGTCAATATATATAGGCAAACAATTAGGGTAAAACTCTTAATAAGGTTCTGGGCCTGACTGCCACTAAAGAAACAGGCCCAACTAAGGGCTGCCTGCACATTTAACTAGAGCAGGCTCTGCTCTTTGTTTATTTGGCTCCCAGATTTGAATGGGCCGAAGCCTACAGCCCAACAATCTCCCACTTGGAGGCTTCGAAACACGATCAACTGCACTCCACTCCTCTGTACTTCTGTAAACTTCATCTGTGTTTAGCTCCTCCTAGTTGCCACCTGCCTTCTCAACATTATTCTTGAAGGCCAGCTGAAGTTACACAGAACTTCAGCTTGTCCAGCGTCACAGATTTAGTGAACATATCTGCTGGATTCTTTGCACCTGAGATGTTCTTCAAGTTCATCGTTCCTCCACTAATCAACTCTCTGACAAAGTGATATCTCATCCCAATGTGCTTTGTTTTCCCATGATAGACTGGATTCTTGGCAAGTTTCACTGCACTCTCATTATCACAGTGTAACGAGTATTCTGCTTGCTTTTTGTCTAACTCGTCAAGGAAGTTCCTCAACCAAATCAGCTCTTTACTGGCTTCAGCAACTGCCATGTACTCTGCTTCGGTTGTTGAAAGAGCTACACTTTTCTGAAGTTTGGACATCCAACTAACTGCAGTTCCTCCCACTGTGAAAATGTACCCCGTTGTGCTTTTAAATGTCTCTTTGCATCCACCCAAATCAGCATCAGAATACCCTCTCAAAATCACATCTTTTCCTCTGAAACATAACCCCATCTTTGTAGTACCCTTCAAATACCTAAGTATCCATTTAACTGCTTCCCAATGTTCCCTCCCCGGTTTTGACATGAAGCGACTAACAACCCCGACTGCATGAGCAATATCTGGTCTCGTGCACACCATAGCATACATGAGGCTACCAACTGCAGATGCAAAAGGAACTTTAGCCATTTCTGCTTTATCTTCGTCTGTTCTCGGAGACTGGTCTTTGGTAAGCTTGAAGTGACTTCCCAAAGGCGTGTTTCTTGGTTTAGTCTTCTCACCATTCATTTTGAATTTCTCCAACACTTTCCCAATGTACTTTTCCTGGGATAGTGTTAAAGAACCACTCTCCTTGTTTCTGACTATGCTCATCCCTAGAATCTGTTTGGCTGGACCCAAATCTTTCATTTCAAATTCTTGAGACATTTGTTTCTTTAACGTGCTGATCTCTTTCATATCTGCACCAGCTATCAACATATCATCTACATAGAGAAGTAGAATGATATATGAACTCTTGAACCTCTTCACGTAACAGCAATGGTCCATCTCACATCTTCTGTAACCTGTCCTTATCATGAAGTTATCAAACTTCAGATACCACTGCCTCGGTGCTTGTTTTAGACCATATAAGCTCCGTTTTAGTTTGCAGACCAGATTTTCTTTTCCAACAACCTGATATCCTTCAGGCTGTGCCATGTATATATTCTTATCAATATCGCCATGTAGAAATGCTGTTTTAACATCTAGCTGCTCTAGATGTAAGCCCTCTGCAGCTACAATACTTAGAACCAATCTGATGGTGGTCATTCTAACCACCGGAGAAAAAATCTCATTATAATCCACTCCCTTTTTCTGCTGAAAACCTTTGACCACTAAACGGGCTTTGTACCGTTTTGACCCATCAGGTTCATCCTTGATTCTGAATACCCATTTATTTTGAAGTGCCTTCTTACCTGGCGGAAGCTTAGTAAGAACCCATGTCTTATTCTTGTGTAAGGCATCCATTTCTTCTTTCATAGCCTGCTCCCACTGAAACGAATCATGCTGCTTTATTGCTTCGAAGTAACTTTCTGGTTCTCCATTTTCAGTCAAAAGGAGATAATTGACTGAAGGACTGAATCTTTCTGGAGGTTTAGTGACTCTAGTGGATCTTCTGACCCACTGTGTTTCAACTGGCTGCGGCTGCACAGGTGAAGGTGCTCCTTCATCCTCTGAATTTTCACTATCAACAGAGTTTTCGTGATCATCCTCAGACTCGTTAGTACTGGAATCATTCTCCAAGCTCCCACTGTCTTGAGTATCTTCAGATTCTCTGTTTCCGATGACATCAGTTTCAAACTCAACCTGCTCTTTCTGAATCTTTGAGTTTTCTGTGCTTCTGTCTTTATAAAGTTCAGCCTCGTTGAATGTAGCATGTTTACTTCTGACTACCTTTCTACTTTCAATGTCCCAAAGTCGATAACCCATGCTGTCTCCCCCGTATCCTATGAAAGTGTATTTCTTGGCTTTAGCATCTAACTTGTCACCATCTTTGATAAGATCATAAGCGCTGCATCCAAATACCTTTAAATGCCCATACTTTACTGCTTCTCCTTTCCACTCTTCCTCTGGTATCTTGAAACCCAATGGTACGGATGGCCCCCGGTTGATAAGATAAGCGGCAGTGTTCACTGCATCAGCCCAGAACGTCTTTGGAAGCTCAGCATTAAGTCTCATACTTCTGGCCCTTTCATTCAATGTTCTGTTCATCCTTTCTGCCACTCCGTTCTGTTGAGGAGTGCCTGGAACCGTCTTTATCATCCGAATGCCATGTTCAGCACAATAATCAATAAACTCTGTGCTAATGTATTCACCACCATTGTCCGATTTCAAGCACTTTACCTTCAGATTAGTTTCCAATTCAACAGCAGTTTTCCACTTCTTAAAAATATTGAAAACTTCAAACTTATTTTTAAGAAAGTAGACCCATACCTTGCGTGTTGAGTCATCAATGAAGGCCACATAGTAGCTTGATCCTCCCAGGGAAGAGACTGGTGTTGGCCCAAACACATCCGTGTGAACTAGCTCCAGCTTATGAGTTTTCGGTGTCTGACCTGTCTTCACAAAAGAAACCTTCTTTTTCTTGCCAAGTACACAAGGCTCACAGAACTCAGAATCCACCTTTTTCAAATCTGGAAGTTTCCCCCTTGCAACGAGCATCTTCATTCCCTTTTCACTCATGTGGCCTAGCCGTTGATGCCACAAACTGGATGCATTCACCCCGCAGGTCACTGCATTCATCTCATCATCAGGAGCTTCAACCATATATAAAGTGCCCCTCTTTTTGCCTCTGGCGATTACAAGATTCCCCTTGACAACTTTCCATTGTCCTTCACCAAAAGTAACATCAAATCCCTGATCATCCAACTGCCCAATAGAAATCAGCATCTTCTTAAGGCTTGGAATGACCCGAACGTCTTTCAATGTCCAAGTGGTGCCCAATGAAGTCTTTAAGCCTATGTCACCCATCCCTGTGATGTCAAGAGAGTTGTTATTAGCCAAGCGAACTTTACCAAAATTACCTGTCCGTAGATTCTTCATCGCCTTCGTGCTGAAAGTAGCATGAAATGATGCACCAGAATCCATAATCCACGTTTCTGTTGAGTTTTCAACACAACAAATAAGGGCATCATCTGAATCGTCAGTGGCTGCATTTACTTCCTTCCTTTCTGAAGATTTAGGGCATTGATTTCTGAAATGCCCAGTTTCTTTGCAGTTCCAGCATTGAATATCTTTTCTCGGTTTTGACTGGCTCCTCTTTCTAGACTTTGATCTGCCTCTGCCATTTCCCTTCTCTTTCTTTCTACCTCTCCCTTCAGTACTTAACAAAGCACTAGAAGATTCTCCAGAACTCCTCCTTCTTATATCCTCTCCTAGGATAATGTCACGAATGCCCTCAAATGTGAGTTTAGAGGTTCCAGTTGAACCACTAATCGCAGTGACTGTTCCTGACCAACTTTCTGGTAACGAGGATAACAAGAATAAAGCTTGGACTTCATCTTCAAACTTAATATCAACAGATAGTAAACGGGATATGATAGTATTAAACTCATTAACGTGTGAGGTAACGGATGCACCTTCTTTCATTCTGGTGTTTACTAGCTGTCTTATCAGAAATACCTTGTTTGATGCCGATGGTTTCTCATACATGTTTGACAAAGCCTTCATCAAACCACATGCAGTAGTCTCCTTCAAGATGTTAAACGCCACACTCTTGGCTAGGGTAAATCTGATAACAGCCAAAGCTTTCCTGTCTAGAGCAGCCCATTCATCATCACTCATCTTTTCTGGTCTTTTCCCTGTCAAGGCTTGATCCAAGTCCTTCTGACACAGCAAATCCTCAATTTGCATCTTCCACCATCCAAAATCTTGTCCATCAAACTTCTCGACTTTGGTTTTTCCGTCATCTGCCATTGTCCCAGTCCTTCACAATCTGCCGGCTATATTCTTCTGCGGCAGCGTACTGTTGGCGGCACAAGGAGGCTGAAGACGCAAGGTGGCAGCAGTGGTGGTGGTCGAATATGTGTGGTGGCTAACCTATCTCTGATACCAGTTGTTAGGGTTAGATCTCACACAAGCACGAATCTGAAAGACTAGAAAAAAGAACGAGAAGAACGGCACACGAATATAACGTGGTTCAGCCAGTAAGTGTTACTGACCTAATCCACGGAGGCAACTAGGGTTTTCTTTCTTATTGAGATGATGAATGATACAAGTCATAGTTTACAAGTACAGGAGTCAATATATATAGGCAAACAATTAGGGTAAAACTCTTAATAAGGTTCTGGGCCTGACTGCCACTAAAGAAACAGGCCCAACTAAGGGCTGCCTGCACATTTAACTAGAGCAGGCTCTGCTCTTTGTTTATTTGGCTCCCAGATTTGAATGGGCCGAAGCCTACAGCCCAACAAGTACATCACTATTAGAGGAGGTCAATGATTTGAGACTCATCCCAGACTAGGACTTCGGTTCAGCACAACTATTGACTACAAACTATTTACACCAGACAATTTACCAAACAAAACAATGCTTTACTAGTAAGCCAAAATCCATCACAGCTATTGTTGCTTTTTAGGCTGAGAAAAACTAACAAGGTGAAAGTTAGCTACCTCATCATCAATCCATCGGTGTAGACAACATGTAGCAAAAATCCTCCCAAGTTGCAATTTTAATACAGAATTGCAAATTGAAGATAAATAAAAAGAAATAAAGGAATACCTGACACTGCACAATTATTGACTAGAAACTATTTACACTAGAGAATTTACCAAATAAAACAACGCTTTACTAGTAAGCGATCACAGCTATTGTTGCTTTTTAAGCTGAGAAAAACTAACAAGGTGAACGTTAGCTAACTCATCATTAATCCATCAGTGTAGACAACGAGTAGCAAAAATCCTCCCAAGGTGCAATTTTATCACAGCATTACAAATTGAAGATATATAAAAAGGAATAAAGTAATAGCTGACATTGCACAATTATTGACTAGAAACTATTTACCCTAGACAATTCACCAAACAAAACAATGCTTCACTCTGGGTCAGCACAATTATTGACTAGAAACTATATAAACGAGAGATTTTACCAAAGCAATGCTTTACTAGTAAGCAACCACAGCTATTGTTTCTTTTAATTAGAGAAAAACTAACTAGGTGAGAGTTTGCTACCTCGTCATTGATCCATGATCCATCAGTGTAGACAACGAGTAGCAAAAATCCTCCAAAGGTGCAATTTTATCACAGCATTACAAAGAAAAGATAAATAAAAAAGAAAAAAGTAATACCTGACACTGCAGCTGAGTTTTAACCACATCAAGTGGCGTTGTAAACAAGGCAGCTGAAACCCCAGCAGCCGCCCCTGCAGTAGCATGTGCTACTAACCGTTCATCACTTGCATTCTCAGGAGAAACTTCTAACAAACCTCTCTTTGCCGCCTCATAAGTAGCAAAATGCACAGCTGTGAATGGGGCATTCATCAACACAGTTGTCTTATAGGAAGCGTAAAAAGCACTAACCCCTTCCTCTCTCAAAACCACCCTCACGCAATCAAACACCCCCTTGTACTGGCTGCTGCTCAGTTGGAGCCTCTGTTTCACCATATCCATTGGCGTGAAGACTGCGTCGCTGGCCACTGTGGCGCACACCCCGGATGCGGCATGGGCGGCTGGGTTATTTGGATTCCCACGGGAGAATGACTCTTTACATAACTCGTAGACGGAGAAGTAGACCGCGTGTGCTGGGCCGGCACCCAGACCCATTGCTCCTATTCCGCGGTAAAGCCCACGAACGCCGTCGGATTTTAGGATGGACTGAAGAGCCTGGCGGACGCCGACGGATTTGATTGGGCAACACACTAAGGCTTGCATTCGGGTCTTGATCGTATCAATTGGGAACATGGCCATGTGCTCCACCATGCCGGCCACTGACCCCGCGACCATGAACTGCCAGGAGTGGAGGCCGTCGTGAGCAGGCAAAACGAGGATCTCCGGGTGATAATCCGGCGGTTGCGGGATCGGTATGAGGTCCGGCTGCTGAAATTTGGCAGTTGCATCGGTGGCGGTGGCCATAGGGAAAACTACGATATTGGGCGGGTCCTGATAGGAAGTCAGCGGACGGATTATGGTAATAGAGATAACCTTGAACGGCTGAGGTGAAACTGATAAATGTCCACACTGGTTTAGGATTCAGGCGATGCTGGGATTGAGTGAATGCGAGCGATTTGGGGGAAGAGAGAGTGATTATTATCAATCACGTTGGGAAGGTTTCTTCGTAAGTACGAAGATTTGGTTTAGGGTTCCAGCCTCCAACTTTGTGGGGGATCGGAATGGGTAAAGGATAGATACTCCGTCCAAAACTTTTATTTGGTTTAGATTCATTTATATTTTTCTTATTCAATCAACACCATACATTTTTACTTTATTCTCATTTTCTTAATAAGCGTGTCAAGTCAAACCGGGAAGTATTATTTGAAAGAGATGTAGTATTACTCCCTCCGTCCCAAATTGTTTTGCAAAGTCAACATTTTTTGGTCAACCAATACAAAAAGTCAATGCTTCTAATCGATAATTAATTTAATTTTTAATAATTAAAATTTATATATTTTGAAACTACGTTGAAATCTCTACAAAGTTGTGAACTCCAAATTAGAATATAATTAAAAATTGACATCCTAATTAAGCAAATAAAATGAAACTGTTTGATCAAGAAAAGTCAAATTTGCAAATCAATTTGGGACGGAGGTAGTATTATTTTTCTAAGGAAAAGGCTTATATTGATGTCACATCATAGAGATATGGGTTAAAAAGATAAAAGGATCTGACAACCGTCGACCCTTGAACCAGATTCAGAGTTAATTATCTCCAAATAAGCAATATAACTCGTTGATCCATTACCACGCGCAACTGAGCCAAAAATGGTTAAAGCAGACCTCCCTTCACCCAATCCTAATGTAAGAGTCTTACAACAATAAAAGTAACCAACAGAAAAATATATAGTGTGATCATGAAAAATAAATCGCAAGTAAACAATAAAATTAAAAAGCTGCTTCCAAACCATAGACTCTCCTACACCCCATGATGGCGGTTCAGGAGGGGGGTGATGCAGCAGTACTGTAGCTTCTTCTTCACATTGCCTCTTGTTCATCATGCTCTCTACCAAGCCTAGCCTCCTTTGTTGTCACCTAACACAGATGACTTCGAATTCAGATCTGTTCCAACATCTAGCCCCACGCTTCGTCGACCATGACCTATGGCCACCGGAGACCAAGCATCCGTCTTCCGTCCCTGCACAACCTTCGACTGTTGGAGATCAAGTATCCTCTTCCCTCCGCTTAATCTTGCCAAAGCAAAAGACGAAAAATAGACGCAGAATTGATGGCAGAAGAAGAAACCTTGTACGCCTAAGTTTGTCTGCAGAGGCCGCTCCTCGTTACAAACGATAGCGGAGGAAAAAAACCTAGCGGTGAAAACCCACTCTAGAGAGATATAAGCTAAGTTCTGTTAAAGAAATCAGTTGTAAATATGGGTAAAGGATATTATTGAACTCAAATTTTCTCATTTATCATCATTCATCAATTTAGTCTGACTTAATTGAGAAAAAAGACAAATAAGCTCTCCAATTATTTGAGATTGTGCAAGTAGGCCCACGAACCGAAAAACTTACATATACATCTCTTTAGATTGTTGAAAATTAAGCAACCAACCCCTTTTTACTTGTTGGTGCAGGTCATTTCTCATCTCGTTAGTTGCACCAACAGGTAAAAAAGGTTTGGTTACTTAATTTTCAAGAGCTAAGGGATATATTTGCAAGTCTTCCATTTCATGGGCTTAATTGCAGGATCACAAATAATTCGAGGACTTATTTGCCCCTTTTCTTGATTTAATTAAATCAAATATAACTTAGTCTCGTATGATCTGGTTTTGGATTAAAATCAATTAATTAAAAATGTTATAAAAATTAAATCAAATTAGAGTATTAATATTATATACTTACTCTGTTCTTTTTTAGTTGCAACATTCAGGCTTTGTTTACTAACAGAGATACTTTCTAGTTTTTCAGAAAACTGGAAAATCAGAAAAAAGAAAAACAGAAAATGTGTTTACTTGAGATTATTTTGAAAAAGACTAATAGTACTACTCATACCAACAAGATGCATCTCCTTTTAAAAGAGCTCATCAGCTAAGAACTCCAAGTTAAGTGTGCTTGCATGGAAGTAGTCTTGGGACAGGTGACTCCCTGACAAAGTGTGCGGTAAAAGCGTGTGCCTTATTTGTGACCTCAGTACCAGAGGTCAGGACAATATGTATGAGTTACTACCTCATGTCCTACGGGGCCGGGGGTGTTACAGGTGGTATCAGAGAAACCTTGCGACACTGTATTGATCCTTTGGATATCAGGCAGGTAGGGAGAGCAAAACCGATCTGACCCGAAAACCTGATCGGATATACCCTTCGTATGCCTATCTGGTCGGTTGACCCGAACCCGATTACCCAATCCGAAATTGCAGGTGTAATACCCGAGATTAATTTAAGAGGATTAATAGTACTACTCATACCAACAGAGGTGCATCTCCTTTTAAGGGAGCTCATTACCCAAGAACTCCAAAGTTAAGCGTGCTTGCACGGGAGTAGTCTTGGGATGGGTGACCCCCTGGGAAGTTTCTCAGGGCGCGCATGAGTGAGGACAAAGTGTGCGGTGAAGGCTCGTGGTGGTTTGTGGGGACAGTACTATTGGTCCGGAGTAACTACCTCGGGTCCGGTGGGGCCAGGGTGTTACAGCAGGCCTTGGTCATTGAGGATAACGGGTATCGGGTAAAAAAACTACCCGACCCGCCCGAAAAACCCGAACTACCGTAGCATATATACTACTTTTAATTATTATGCGTGTTTAAATATGTCAATTACCGTATTATGCATGTTCAAATATGCTAATTATCGTATTTGTACAAGAGTTTTTACCACTTTTGGTCCTTCGATTATTATGTCATTGACACATTTGGTACTCGACTTTGATTTTTCCCACTTTTAGTCCTCAACTTAGTGGTGGACTCGGTTCGGGCCGGGCCCGGTTCGGGCCTAGAACCGGCCGGGCCTCGATTCACGGAAGGCAGGCCCGGAACCGGCCTGGATAACCCCGGGTCCGGTTCGGTTCGGGTCACCCGCCCGGTTCACGGGCCGGGCCGCCCGCCGGGCCGGGCCTTTTAATTTTTTTTATTATATATTATATTATTAGAATAATTCTTGTTACAATTACAATATATTATATTCGAATTCAAGTATATTTATTTCAAATAAGAAGTACAATTGAGAATTAGGATGAATTTAAAAAATGTAATACATTTTGTAATAAAAAATCAATCGCAATCTCCGCCTTCGGTTGTTTCCTCCATAAAGTGGCGGGTGGGAGTGATGGTAATTTCTTGAGTTCTTCGTTGGGCCTTCAACCAATCGTGAAAGCAAACTAGTGTCTCAAGAGAGCTCGGGCTCAACCTCGTTCTATAATCGGTTAGGACGTTGCCGGCCGCACTAAATTCTTGTTCCACGGCAACAGTTGATATCGGCATTGCTAGCACTTGTTTAGCCATCTTTGATAAAATCGGGAATGTTCTTTCATTTTTCTTCCACCACTTAAGAACGTCAAAGTCATCACCAACTTCATAATCAACATTCAATGTTAGATACAAAGAAAGCTCGTTACCTGAGCTTTGTTCAGTAGCGGGAGTTGCTCTACATTTTTTCAAAAGAGAACCAAAAGCGGATTTTAAAAGTGATTTTCCTTTAGATGAAGAAGATGTTCGTTGCATGGGAGGGGGTGCATTCCCATATTGTGCATGAAATTCATTATACAATTGATGAAATAAATTACTAACCTCGTTGAATTCTTGTTTAGGGTCGATGGGATTATCATCGAACTCTTGAGTTGAAAAAAAAAGAAGCATGATAGTAATCTATACAATTTGCAAAGTAAGCAAGTTTATAACGAGGATCAAGAACAAATGCAATACCATATATATGCGGAATATGTGAATAATATTTTAAAAACTTTTGTTTCATGAAATCACAAAAATAACTAACGTAAGTTGTCACGCCTCGGACCTATCCGGACACGTCAACAACCCGCCGTACAGTACGAATAGTCAACCACAGTCCGACTCATCCATACTATACAAGGCGTCATGAATATCATTCACACATAGTACATCTGTAAACAAACATAACGTAAATCATTCATTTAAAACAGCGGAAGCATAAATACAATTGTTCAAGCCACACTTGGCATAACTCGGCATACAAGCCCCCAAAGTAATTATTCAAAAATAATATCCATGAGCATTAACGTAGTTGTTTTTAAAACAGAACGGAAGAAGCAAGAACCACGTCTTCTCCCTTTGATCCTCCCGAAGCCACGGGCGATGGTAGCAACCTTCAAGTTCTACCTGAAACTGTGAGGTGACCTCCCCCGTGAAGGGGAGGTCAGTACTTGGAAATATTTGACAAATACAATAGCAACTATACTAAGTATAATCAACGTTTTAATTTCCAAGACCCTCAACTTAGGGTACTATTATATTATAGGCCATAACCCTCGGTTACCCCTTTTACTTTTAACTGTACTTACTTTACATAAAGTCAAGTAGTCGGCCCGTAGGCCCATATTCATTTAGAATTCCTCGTTTCCATTCCCCCGTGACCGCAAGTCACGATAACCCCGTGGGGTCCCATCGAGCCCCAATTGTATAGCATGGGCTCGGCCCAACTACATCTCTATACAATCCTCTAGCTCATTATATCATATCAAAATTTGTATGGCAAGGGCTCGGCCCAACTACGTTTCCATACCAACCATAACTTCGTGGCAAGGGCTCGGCCCAACTACGTTTCCACGGAGGTCACATATACATGGCAAGGGCTCGGCCCAACTACGTTTCCATGCTAATCATATTACATGGCATGGGCTCGGCCCAACTACATCTCCATGTCATCCTAGAGTCCAACTCTAATTATTTTCATAATCAAATTCTCAAGCAAGTCCTATGCCTAGAATCAATTCCTGTAGGTGGCCTTTAGGCCTACCCCTATCACACCTTAGTGTTCATACCATTCATCCTTAAGTATCTCTTAGGACTACTTAAGGCATATCTATTCACAATCCTACCTCTTAGGATTTATTTCATCATTTATTTATATTAATTCCCCGACTAGTATTTTGATACTAATTGGATAATCTTAGAACATGCCAAGTTCCTATTTCCCAATTGGCATTTCATTTCCATTGATTTCTCAACCCAAGTATAGTTTGATCTCAATATCAAAAATATCACTTTAATCCATTCATGAATTTCATACATGAAG